CCATATTGAAATATTGGCCAAGCTCTGGTACTCTGGGCATGGGAGGACTGACGACCCCATGTGGAGCTACAAATATTCTGGAAAAAACGGTCCTCTCAAATAGTAAAGGCTCTAGTAGATACCGGAGTGGAGGCCTCCTTGATTTATGGAAATCTGAAGAAATTTAAAGGTCTATCTGTGATTTTTACAGGACTAAGTGGGAAACAAATTGAAGCAGTACAAACCCAAATTGATATGAAAATTGGAAATCTTCTGAAATGACAGTATAGTCATGATTGTTCTGAGCCCAGAGTATATAATCGGAATAGATATTCTAAAGGGACTTAATTTGAATCTTGTTGATGGTCGTTATCAATTTGGGGTAAAGAGTTATATCACTAACCGAGCAGTTTTAGTAGGGAAGATAAAGATGCCTACGGTTCAGATCCCAACTGCGACCAAGGTAGTAACCATGAAACAGTACAGGATTCCAGGTGGTCATGAAGAAATTTCCCAAACAATCAAAGATTTACTGGCTGCAGGGGTTTCAAAACTGACTACCACAATGTGGAATAGTCCAATCTGGCCAGTCAAAAAGGCTGATGGATCCTGGAGAATGACTGTGGATTATAGAGAACTGAACAAGAGCACCCCACCTCTTGTGACAGCTGTACATGATATGATCACTTTAATAGAAATTCAGAGGCATGTGGTATGCTGTCATTGACCTGGCCAATGCATATTTTATGATTCTGATTGCAGAAGAGCATTGGGATCAATTTGCATTTACATGGCAAGGACGGCAGTACGCCTTCACCAGGTTGCCTCAAGGATGGGTGCATAGTCCAACTATTTGCCATAGAATAGTGCTGAGCACCTGGATGAGGTACAGCTCCCTTCTCATATGCAAACGACCCACTATATTGATGACATCATGATTTAGGGGACCAATGAGGGTGAATTACAACAAATGCTCGAAGTGCTACTAATGCATATGAGGCAGAAAGGTTGGGAGATTAATCCTACTAAGATCCAAGGTCCATCTCAGACAGTTAAATTCCTAGGAATACATTGGAACTGTGGTCATAGAGAAATACAACCTAAAGCTTGGCAAAAGATTCTTGACTGTGCTGTACCACAGAATAAGAAGGAGGCGCAGAGATTTATCAGACTGTTTGGTTTCTGGAGACAACATATTCCACATTTAGGACAGATTCTGGCCCCATTATACAAAGTAACTCGCAAAAAGCATGAATTCGAATGGGGAAATGAGCAGCAGGCTGCCTTTGAATTGGCAAAAGAGGCTATTAAAAGGGCTTTGGTCTTATGGCCCATGCAGGATGGCGAAGTAGAATTAAATGTATCTGTAAATGGGTCATATGCTAATCAGAGTCTCTGGCAGAAACAAGGGAAGAGAAGAGTCCCCTTAGGATTTTGGGGAAGAAAGTTACCAGAGGCAGGACATAATTACACGCCTTTTGAGAAACAACTATTAGCCTGTTACTGGGCCTTGATAGAAACCGAGCAGCTCACAATAGGCCACGAGGTGGCCCTTCGTCCTGAAATCCCTATTAGGCAGTGGGTTAAAAGCTCCCCGAAGACTCGCCGCATAGGGCATGCGCAAGAATCAAGCATTATAAAATGGAAATTGTACATCCAGGACAGAGCAAAGGTGGAACCTGGTGATGTTGCTGCCCTCCATGAGCAAGCTGCCCCCATGCAGGATCAAGAGGTAAAGCCTGATCCTATAGTTGAACAGGAATCCCCTGTACAATGGGAGAAGACCCTGGATCAGCTGCTACCTCTTGAAAGGGAACATGCATGGTTTACAGAGAGGTCAGTTAAATATATAGGAGGGAAAAGGTTTTGTAAGGCAGTGGCTTATCCTCATTCAGGGAAATTTCTGGAGACCAGAGGAGAAGGGGAAAGTAGCCAATATGCTGAGTTATATGCAGCATATATGGCTTTAAAACAAGAGGATTTAGGGAAACGTCACCTATACACCAATTCTTGGTCAGTGGCAAATGGATTGGCTACTTGGCTGCCAACATGGGTAACCAAAGATTGGAAAATTTATTCCAAAATGGTCTGGGGAAAGGCAATATGGAAAGATATTTGGGAATTGGTTCAAAGAACCAAGGTGACAATATTCCATGTAGATGCTTATAGTAATATAAATTCAGTTGAGCGGCTTTACAGTTCTGTCATTGACAACAGGGCAAAGATTTCCCAAGCCAGACTGGAGTTCCCTCAGGAAAGAGACCATGAAGGCTTGGCAAAATGGGCACAGCAGAAATGTGGGCATCTTGAGGAAAAGGCCACTTACAAGTAGGCCTAAGAGTGTGGCATAGTTATGTCACTGGATATAATCAAAACAATAATTGCCCAATGCCCTGTGTGCCAGCAGACTCATAAGTGCCTGGTACCAAATATTGTAAAAGGAGAATTGGGAAGAGGGAAATTGCCAGGACAAATCTGGCAGATGGACTATATTGGCCCTTTACCCCAGGACCGAGGGTGCAAATACATCTGCACCATGGTTGACACATGTTCAGGATATTTCTGCAGAAAAGCCATGCACCGTAGTACTACTTCTACCATAGATATAATGATCCTATACTATGGCATCCCCTTACAAATACAAACTGATAATGGGTCCCATTTCTGAAATAAATTTGTACAGCAATATGCAGAGCAGCATAACATTCAGTGGATCTTCCATATCCTGTACTATCTACAGGCTGCAGGAGTAATTGAACGAATTAATGGGCTTTTAAAGGAGCAGTTTAAAAAGCTGGGAAATGGAAACCTATCCCAATGGAGATCTAACCTCCTCAACAATAGACCCATTGGGGAGATGGAGACACCCTTGATGTGTATGACTACGCCCAATCTGCAAATAAAGCCTCTAATGGTAACTGAAACTTTAACCTACTGGGAAATGGTTCCAGGTGCAATGGCCCCCTACTGGGCCACTCCAGAGGCTGCTGGGCTACATCATTAGAACTGGTAAAGATAAATCGAGGCCAGACAAGCGTTATTAACATGGGGTTAGGAATCCAAATTCCCCCAAGACACTTTGGCTTAATAACTGCTCGCTCAAACCTTAGCCCTAAAAGGCGTTCATGTAATGGGAGGAATGATTGATGCAGACTACCAAGGAGAGATCAAAGTAATACTGCTGAATAATGGTGAACAAGATTTAGTTATTGAACCCAAAGATAGAGTAGCACAGCTATTAATATTACCAATTTTGAAAACAATGGTGAGGAAGGGGGACCCATCCCAAGTCACTACTGTTCGTGGAGACAAAGGATTTGGATCCACTAACTTTAGTAATGGGGCAGTAGTACAGGTCCAAAGGCTGAGTGGCCCCCCTGAGCCAGCTGAAGTAATAGCTGTAGGAAAAGATAACATCATCCTAATCATGAAGCCTGGACAGAAAAAATGGGAACATGTCCCCGCAAATAAATATTATTCGTGGGAATAACAGTGGTCTGAAGTTTTGTCTTCTAGATCTTGCATGGCACTGCCGGGAATATGAAATCACTCCCGTGACAAATGTATTCGACCTGAATGGGCAGCGTACAGGCTGGAATACAAGTTGACGCTGAACTGTGCTGAGCAGATGACGTGAGCTTCAGATCCACAGTCACACTGATCTTCCAATGAAAAAGACCACAACAGTGAAGAATATGAAGAAACAGCTGAGATGACTGTGGCAGTGTCTGTAGCTGAATACAAGATAAAGATGTCACACTTAGAGATCGTGTGAAGGCTGTGGTCCACCCATATGTCAAGGGGCTGAGTGAAATGCTGGGGTTTCAACCCCAAGCCCCAAATTAAGGTTGACATATGGGTGATTCCCACAGCCCTTCACAAAGGAGGGGTGAGTTTGCCTTTAAGCTTCCCTCCAGGGTGCGAGGTAAATGAGCCCCAGGTGTCCTGCATTAAGTAAACAAAGATCAGGTGTCCCACTTAGGGATAAAAGCTGGGACCCCTTGCAGGAAGGGGCAGTATCTGTCTGTGAGGTGGATGTACTTTGCAGTTTCCTGTTGGGGAAGGCCTCCTGCCTCCCTGGAACTGGGCTCCAGTCAGGTCTGGCTTTTGTAAATGCAGGCTGTGTAGAGATTCAGTATGTGGCTTCCTTGGTCTTATGTATTTGGCTTGTTGACTTGGTTGTCTCCTGTCCCTTTTATGGGAGACTGCATTTTGGCATTTATTCCACCCATTGTTGGTTGTGTGGTGTCATTGTTGGGGTCAGTGGGATTGATGTCAATTATGTATAATCTGACTGACTTGTTTGTACCCCCAGTGCTCACCCATGTACTGACCCTTTTGTATCAAATGCAATTTGGTTATTGGTTCATCTTTATGCTAGCTGTGTCCTTTATGCTAGGCCTGATAATTGGCAAAACAGCCTTACACATGCAGTGCTCCATGAAGCAGTAATCAAGCTGGGTTTGTGCTTTCAAAGTGAGGAAGGAGACACAAGAACAAAGGAAGATTCATTTATTTAAAAAAAAAAAACCCAAACAAACAGAATCAGTGTCCCTGAGTCCATTTGTGCCACACCTTGTTAACTGCTAGGAAAAATTAGTATGGGTGTGAGAATGAGGGGCAGATGAAGTTTCTCCTGTGGATTTAAGGTAGGACTGGAACACATGCAGACCTAGGAAAGCTCTAGAAGCAGCTGAGACAAATATCACGATGTAACCATTGCAATATTACTACAGTGCAGCAAAGACTAGAAAACTCAGTGAAAGAGGTGTAGTGGAGCTGTCATAGCAGGAGAATTCTCTACAGCAGGAGGAAGCAGATGATCATCATAGTCTAGAAAGCTTCAAAACACCTGATTTTACAGGGGAATCACTACCTAGAAGAACATAGTTTAGATATCAATTCCCCAGGAATGTCAGCTAGCATTATTTTAAGCTAGCAAGGTACTGCAGCTAACATAGCAAGGCAGTAATTGCTTCCAATGAGATTCTGCAGTCAGCACAGAGGCATAGCAGGATAGGATCCAATTTTCCTTTTCCTTTCTCAGAGGTTACATAAAGCCTTGGAAGTTACCCCTTCAACACCCCTGTGGATCAGTTAGTGTATCCTGATTATTATCACTGTTACTCACTATGGCTTACAGAATATGGAAGAAAATTCCCATACCATCTTTTAGCAGTAATAAAAATCTCAAAGTTTGAAGTCTTTTTCTGAGATTCTAAGCCCAGTTCTGCCACAGACTTCCTATATGACCTTGCAGCCTAGTTACCAGTGAAGAAGTGGATGACAACCATTGTCTGATCAAGCTATACAAAAAAAGCCTCTTAGGATCATGCACTTGACCAGTAGCTTCACACAGAACATAACCACACTCAGCCTCTGGGTGTCACTGCAGCTACAGTAAGTACTTGCAACCAGTCAGCTAAGCTCCCTGCCTTGTCCTCATCCCTTGAGGGACTAATATTTTTTTTAAAAACAGACTTATCCCTACACTACCAAAGGCAGAAACTAAGTTGTAAAAGCATCACTGAATTCAGAGACACTCCTTTAGTTTCAATATTCTTTCAAAAGACATCTTTATTATAAAAGATAGAGAAAATTGGAGTTTCTTGCACAATGTTAATCACAGCAGTTATAAAAACCCCAAGGTAAACATGTTTAAGAACATTTGTATACCAACTCAGTGTTTGCTATTTGCCATTAAATATTGCAAAGACATATTCAGTATTAGTGCGGTAAAGGGCTGCTGGCAAGCATCAGCCTGCCAGAGGTCAGGGACAGAGCTCCTCCTTTACCCCCATGCACCATGAAACAGCACTGTGAAGCAAGATTCAAATTGCAGAATTTCAGTTTTGCTCTGCTGTTTTGATGCAGACATTCCAGCTCCAAGCAGTCATGGGATTTGTGTCTCTAAACATCAGATGAGCTCAGTCACCTGAGATACTATGTCATTAAGCTTTCACTCCTTGAAGAAAAATGGCTGGTAAGTAAAGTATTTTGAAGTCATTGTTTCTTTTCTATTGCCAGGGTTTTTAAAGTTTCAACTAAGTTTCCATATAAAGTTCTTTTGCCAGTTTCCTTACAAAGATTGCCTACATACTTACTGCCAAGAATTTAAAGTGGGGCCCAAGAATTTCAGTTTCCACCACTAGGGTGTTCCCTCATGGTGGTTCCCCTTGACAGAAGGACTACACACTTCACTGCCCACACTGAAGGTACAAAGATAATGAGAAGCAGCAGCAGGAAGAGCCACCACAGCCTGTATCGAGATACACGACACAAGACTTCAATCATCATTTAATGCGTGACAGATCACCAAGTAAACACTGAGTGTGAAGACCAAGACTGGGTATAGGGTGCCCCTCAGGACAGGTAAAACCAAGGATAGCTTGTGCATTTCTGTGAGGCAAAGCCACAACACTCCAGTTTGCATTCTGAAAATGGATGTTTGGGTCGTTTATGAGGAAGCAAAGCCATCACACAAGATCACAATCTTCCACTGAATGCAGGAGCGGTCCCTTATCTGTTTTTATACTGCATTCTGCTTTGGGCAGATACAATCCTCAATTGGTAAGGAACACATTTGGTCAGCAAGGATCCCAGCCAGTATTTTGCTAGCTGGATGCCATTTTCACCCCTTAAAGCCAAAATTAAAAGATACATTGATTAAAAGTAAAAAATAGTGGTTTTAACCAGTTCCAGGGAAAAAAAAAAAACCCTGCAGTTGGCCACAAAGAGCTTACTTAGTTTTTCTTTTATGACAGCACCATCAAAAGATTATACCAGAGCAGAAACAAGACACAGGCTGTTCAGATAGCAAGCAAGGAAGCAAACCTTTTGTGTTCTTTTAGCAGTCATCTCTGCACAGAGACCAGATGGCCAGCTTGCTACAGAACCATCCAAAAGCAAGGGAGAAAGTCTTCTTGTTTCAGATCCAGTCCACTTCCTGAGCCACAGTGTGCATGCTTACAACAGTCAATTTGGTGCAGTTTAAATTCAAGTCACTCAGTTTAGCTTGCAAAGTTCAGTAATACTTCCTGGAAACAACTGTGTCTGCAGCCACACGTTTTGTACCTATACTAGAAGGCCATACTTCAGCTCCTGCTAGAAGAACACTTTGTGTACGGTCCCCACCTCTCATCTCTTGCACTCCAACAGACTGCTCATCTTCAGCAGCAAGTCAGGCAGGATTTCAGCAGTGATTTTTGCACTGCGAGGGAAGTGCCAGCATTGTACAGATTGCTTTCTAAGGACTGTTTTATACTTAATATAACTAAACATCAAACCACATCATAAGATAAATACCTTTACTTGACCATCATTACAAGATTCTGCAGCTAGACATACACATGTCACAGCAAGCTGAGTGGGCCACTGAGGAGTCAGTCAGTCACAAAAAACCCCATGTAGTGTACCAGACAGGTAACACATCTTCCAGGTTGGATAGATATGATCCTCTTATTAAGCATGACAAACTAGAGTGGTAAAACCTGCACCACTGGCTGGTTTGCTGGTGATCATTCATCTCACCATTCCTAGATTCTTCTTTTCTGTTCCTACCAGTTATTTGGCAGGTTACAGAAGCAATGGAGTTCTCTCACCAGCTGGCTGCTCTTTCTGAAAACACTCTTTGATATGCAGTAGCTTGTTATGGATCCTCTCTCTTAGGGGAGGGATATGATGGCTAGGATCTAAGACATTGGTGCTTCTGCGCTCCCTTTCCCGCTTCCAGGTGAGATAGGGGTGTGGTGGGAAGGGCACTTCACTTCTCTCTCGGCGAAGCTGCACAGTCACTCCGCTAAGGGCCAGCATTGTCCACACTGACAGCATAATGAAGTCTGAAAAAGAGAAAACAGACTCCTCTATCAAAGCAGAACATTCCTTCCTTTCCCAAGCACAAACACTGAACAAGATTAGTGACAGAAAGGAAGGAAGTATCATCTCTGCATCCTCACATGCCTACAGTAATTCCATGAAAAGGCAAGAATATCCACTGAGTCAGAGATGAGTCTGCTCAGTCACCATATTAGGCGTTTTGACAGCCCGCTCTTCAGACCCAACAGCAAAGTGGCAGTCCAAGACTGAAAAGCACCCTTTCACAAGAGTCTTTGTTACATAACACCTGCTGGAAGGCTGCCACGTATGACTCTACTCAGTCTTTCTTTTAGAGGACTAGAATTTATCATCTGGTTTATCATCTGGGTGTTAAATCTCACACTTATTTACTGTGTTCTCCTTTCATCCCTTCCTACCCTCACTCACTGTTCACAGTGGAACCAAAGAGGCAGTGTTTTTTCTTAACAAAAAAAAAGTCTTAAGAGCAGTACTCACCATTTGTTTGAAAAGGCACATTGGTGTAAGCTCTGCTGAAGTAATCATTGAGGACCCTTCTGAGTAGGTCTAAGGTGATGTAAGCAAGACTTGTGTAGACATAACAAGCAATAGCTAAAATCACTGCATAAGAGCCTACTATTCCAGAGGCCAGTATGTTCAGCTAGAGGAGTAGAAAACACACAGCTTTAGGAGACTGATAAACACTCTCTTCCTCACCTCCTTAAGGCAGTATTTTGTATCAGTTCCTCTACAAGAAACTGGCTACACATACTTGTTGTCCAGACATCCTGTTAAAGACAGCAGAAGTGGACTAATTGCAAGTGTTAGTGGATGATATGTGCAACACTGCAAAAAGTCATTCCTTTGCTTATGACCATTTAGCACAAGTAGGGCTGAATAGGAACTCCCTAGAGCTGATCCTGTGCTGAGATTCATGAAGCTGTGTTAAGTTTCCTAAGCATATCCCACAGGACCACATTTTGCATTAAGAAGTCTGACACCCCTTCCTCCCTCCTTCTGAGGTAATGGTGCAGATTACTTACAATTCTTGGACAGTCAGCAAAAAGCACCGGAATCATCAAGGCTACAGAAGAAAAGGTCACCCAGAACACCACATCATCACGGAAGACTCTGTAGTCTCCTGCAAAGACACCACATTCCACACATAATTTACTAGTTAGTAAATAATTTCCTTTTCTGCAAGTGGTTGGGGATGAGCTTTTCCCCCCCACAAAGGTTCTGTACTTTCAGAAATATCTGGAGTGCTGTTGAAAAGCTTAGCTTTTGAGCTCAAATGTTAATTGTTTAAGATGCATTGTAACACAGTTACTCAAAACAAGAACAGAAAAAGGCAGTCCCAGTTAGGAGTTAGGACAACAGATCTTGTCCATAAAATAGATTTTTGATGCGGTATACATTACTGATCTGGTAAGAATGAAAAGTTTTAGAGTACTTCTACTGAGTAAGAAGCCATTTTGTTGCCTATATAGGTTTATGATCTATACACCCACATTATGCAAGTTGAACTCTGGAGCATGGTGCAAATGCAGTCATCACAACAGCACAAGACACCAAATTCTTGTGGTCTTAGGAAGAGTAGTTAAGTCATTCAAATACTGCTTTGCTCCGCCTGCTTTCTAAAGCTTGTCAACCAAACAGAGGGGACAAGCTGACCCTCAGCTGAGTCCCTGTTTTAATTCAATGAAGGGCAACCAGGGACTGCATGGATTATCACAGAACTGTGGCTGAGTCAAAGAGACGACCAGAGAATAAAAACTCTCCCACAAGGGATCTTAAGTAGAAGAGTTTTGAGATTAAAATTTACGATAAGAGAAAGCAGTGTGGCTGATGCTCTGATGTTCCAGAGGGATTCCAGCTCAGCAGCCTTGCTTGCTTTTAAGTGATTTGTCTATTGTTTCTCTCAAAGTCATTCTAAAGACTCTGATGATGTCAATCCAGCTGCAAATCCAAGTTTGACTTACAGTGCAGTGCTCCCAGAGCCTTGCACTCTAGTATGGTGAAAGGCAACAGCAAGAACTCCTCTTAATCGATGACACCTTTATGCCTGAAGCCTTCAAGTTAGACTACAGATTTTGTACTGTGACTTGTTCTAGATAGAGGACAAGACAGACAGTGAGTGCATGCCTGAAGCAGAGCTGGTGTCACAGACTGCTGAGATGACACACAGCTTAGGTAGGAAGAGCCTCAGCAAGTTCTCTGCAGAGTAAGCAGTTTCCTTTTCCCACCACTGCAGATCCCCTAAGTAGTTTTAATTACAGCACACCTGAAAGGCAGCTTCAGGTACATCTCTGTTCCTCCCAAAACTGGAAAGGGAAATTTAAACATCACACTAAGATAAAGCAGATAGTGGCATTCATCTTAGACTAAGCCTTGCAGTGTCCCTGTACAGGAACGCATAACTCACTAGCCAGCACTTTGCAGCAGAGTATTTCAGTGCATACCCAGTGGAGTAAAGAAGACCGTTGATGAAAAGAGAAATCCCAGCACAAGTCCAATAACAAACATACAGAGTAGGACAGAGCCAAATCTCCACCAGCTTGCAACCAGGAAAAGCCCTCCAATAATTCCAGCTACTGCTGTTAAAGTAAGACGCACTGAAAAAGAAAAGGGGAAATTCCAACTGCAACAATGTATTCAGCAGCTTTACTTACATATTTGACTGTTACCTAACAAAAACTTTCTGAAAAAAAACAAACAAGAGTATCAGTATTTGCTTCAAGCATTTCACTAAAGACTCCAGTCTGCAACTGCAGATGTGTTACTGAAAGAACAGCACAGGGCTGGAATGAACGTCTTGCTACTATCTACATCAGTATCTTGAGTTCCCAGGGCAGTTATGGTTGTGAGAGATAATGCACACGTACCAAAAATGTTAACTATATGTGGGAACACAAAGACAAAAGGAACTAATTTTAGCTAGTCTAACAAGCAGGGTGCAGATATTTCACTTTCATTTTACAGATGAAATTTGCATCTGATCTGAAACCAAGTTTCACCCATTATGAAAGACATATTAAGGAAGTATGCTTCAAGTTTCCAGGTTTTCTAAAAAATTGTTATCTTCCTTGGACAGATATTCAAATTTGTCTTTTATAGTTGCAGCTATTAATTCTGCATCACTATTTGATGTTAGAAGCAACATTTACTCTTCCTATTGTGGTAATCAGAGATTAGTTCAAGTACCTAGGTATTATCCTCCTATTCTTCCTGAGGGTGGCCACCAACAAACACTACTGAGGTTTTACTTAAGGGATTCATAACAACAATACTTTGGGAAGAAGATTGGGTGTCCTGACACATCTACTCACGGTCATAACCAAGGCCAGTTACCCTCGTAATGAATACAAAGAAGAAGAATGCTGTGAATATGAAGCCCATGAAGACTAAGTCTAGAAGCAAAGGAAAAAAAATTTAGTATGCTGTCATATCACTTCATACCAAACCCACTTCAATACAAATTCAGACATTTCCATGTTACAATAGGAAGGAACATACCAGCTCACTGGCTGAGAAGCATAAAAGGAAAGTCAGACAACACTGGTCTGCAAAAGGGTGTCCTCAAGCACTTCAAGTGGTCAGAAAACTACGTATTTATAGGGTGCATGCTGGGCAATACAGATAGTTTTATGTTTCTATTCTTTGCATACCAGAAACTTCTTGCTCTGTGCTTAAAAGCTTGTATCCTGTACAAGCAAAGCAGTGGATCTAATTGGCACATAATCACTATCAAGTGAATCTTAGTAGTAACACCACCATTCTAAGTTACAGTTATGAAATGCCAACCAGATTTATGAGAAGAGAGGAAAAAAACCCCCACCCAAAATCCAGAAAACATTCAGTACCTGTTTTCCAGAATCTGTGTCCAAAAAAGCAAGCAAAAAGGCCAAGAACAGCAAGAGCAGTGAAGAATACTTTGGTAGAAAGTTTACCTACAAGAAGAAAGAAAAGGTTACTAGAGCATTCCACCTAATAGTCCCAACAATGAGATTAGGTTGCTGTCACCGAGTCTACTGATAACTTACTAGCTGCCACTCTTTCAAACACACCATGTGAGCAGATCTACAATGCCTGAACTAGCAGTTACCCTGATAGGATCTCTAACAGAATACTGAAGTAGTTCCAAACTCATTAAAAAATCAAAAGCTTCCTCCTTATTCAAAAGGCTGAAGTTTCTGTAACTATTAGTTAAGTATCTGTAACTTGTTGTTTATAACAGCTTTACCTGAAAATTCTCTGCTCAACTTTACAAAAAGGACATTCAAACATCTATAAAGGCCAGTGCTACAGGATTAGCAATCCAGGCAGCAGCTATAGTCTTTATGACTGCAGCCTTCACCATAATCTCCCTTTTATATTTTCCATGCAACAGAAAGGACCATCAGCATCCCAGTATAGCCCACCTTTGTCTCCTAGGCAAAATTCTTGCTGGTATTTAAGCTATTTGAAAAAGTAAGCCACACTTTCCTAGTTCTCTGAATAAGAGAGGTTTAGCCTAGATAATTTCTCTCATGTTGTCATAAGACAACCACTGAGTTTCACAAGAGTTACTTGTGTTGCAGTATATGATAAGAAAATAATCATGACAATAAACCTTACTTTATAAGCCATATTCTACCCATTATTCTTGTCCCTTCTGCAGTCATAATGGGAGTGGCAGCTTTGCTCTTTTTCTACTCAAATTCTATGACTACATAACTGTATAAGGTAACAGGACTTCACAGTCAATTCCACTACTGCTGACATTCACTTTATGCTTATTTTAGGTGACTATCTCCTTTCAAAATATTTGTAGGTTGCCAATTCCTGTTAGCACCAGCACAGTTAGAAAAATCAGACAGGAACCTAATCTAGTTAGTTTTATTAGTTTAGTTTCACATGCACCATCTATAGTCCTACAAGTGATTTAAGATTATGTATCCAGTGGAAATGAAAAAAGATAGAGTAGCACTACAGAGCTGAAAGATACATTTGCAAGCCACACATTAAGCCTCCATTAAGTTAAACCTTCAGTTGTTAATAGTTAGTTCTCCTTAGTCTTAGTTCATCAGTCTAGAATTTCTCCTCAATCAAGAAGCAGACTCCATCATAAAGTAACAAAATATATCCAGTTTAAAACAGAGTCCCTAAACCTCAAAATCCCCATTCAGAACGTTAGAGCACAAGAAGATTAAGATGAGTTGGCAAGGATGTACACGTCCCAACTTACTGAGAGAAGAGCAGTTATCCACTAGGTCAGCAAAGCTGCAGGCATATGTATGGACAGGTATGTATGCAGCAGAAGTATTCCAAAGAGGATCCCATACTATGACGTTGTAGATCACACCTTGTCCAGGAAGTGAGGAAAAGTAGACATTGGTCTTGTCATCAGTTGTCAACGTAAGCATCTGGAACAGTAAAGAATATTTTTAATTGCAAGGAACCGCTTGTCACTGCTATTGATGGCATACTGATGTGTCCATACAGCTCAGGCAATACTCAGCAGCTCAAGGAAGATGATCAGCAAGAACTCCAGGAACGAGTTCTCCTATTCTGAACCCTCTCAGTATCACCAATTGAAGCATTAACAGCTCACAGGACAAACTCTACTTCCTTTGGCATTAGTATATTTTTTGACAGGGGAGAAGATTCTCCCACTCATGTTTTCCCCCCTCTCCATTTGAGGGGATAGTTCAGGCTTTCTACCCCAGGTCTGGCCTCTGGAGCAGGCAAGGCTGTCATTCTACTCCCTAGCAAGGCCAGACAGGTCATGGCCACTGAGATTCTCTCTGCTCTGTCCCTTCCAATCTCTTTGCTGTGGGGTAGGTAAGCGTGCAGCTAGTGTTTGCTCTCACATATCAGATCTCTTCATGCCACTCGAAATGGTGCACATTTCTAGTCCAGTTTCACTATATCCTCTCCCCTCCTCTCTTCCTTGCATTCCCTACTCAATCCTCAGCATCTGAGGATGCTAGACCCCAGCATTTATCAGGCATCATAGGAGACTATCCATCTTTGTCAGAAGTCACTCTACTTCTGGATTTACAGGCACTCAGTGGCAGTATAGCTGTAGGCAAGCTGGCTTCATCATCAGTGAAGGAGCACTGTCGCTAAAGCAAGCAGAAAACACTGCAGTAAGAGCTCATGGCTTTGAGAAAAGGGTGCAAGACATTGCAAAAATCCCACAGACTAGTCACTAACATCTACCTAATATCAGAGTTCATTGCAAAAAGACTCAGTTCTGCCACGTTTCAGGGTGTGCTAACTAGCCACATCTATCCCAAGAGAGAGTGGTTGCCATATTCTACATGTCACTCACTATACTTCCTAGTCAGAAATCCCAGACAGACGCAAGAAGCCTGAAGCATCAGCAGTTTGCTTATGTCACCATTCAAGGAAGACAAGCACAGGGGAGGAGAAAACATAAGATAGTGCCACTGCCACATGCCTGGTACACACCAGTGCTTTAGACTTACTTTAACGCCATTGGCTTTGATACTTTGCACCTCAGACATCTTCTGTATGTGGCTCATGAGTACCATTTCAGAAAGATCATTCTCTGGCAAGAAGTACCGGTAGACATCATAGCGCAGTCGCCATCTGGAGTTCTGACCAGTCCCTGAATCACAGGATGGTGGGTTTGCTCCTCTACAATTAAAAAAAGAGATCAACTATGTGCCCAGCACAAGTCCCCAGATCTTAACATTAGTTTTTGGAAGTTACCCATCTGAGTTTGCAGTACTTCATTTCTACTTCTTAGCAGTTAGCACCAGTAACTAGTTCAAAACTAGACTCTAAATGTTTGTGAGACTACAGCAGTATCATGCAGAATCACCCGATGCAGGTAGTATCTGTGCTGGTACCTGCCTTTATAGAGGCTTCCTATGACTTGTCATAAGAAACCAGCCCAAGAATTCCAGGAGGTCACAACACCCAAAGACCACAACATCACTTTGTTTTCCCATGCATGGTGTATATACACAGCTCTGAACATAGTCCTCCCCATTTCCTGCTTATCACCTGTGACACCAAGTACCATTTGGGAAATAATGCCTTAACTTGAAATCTCCATGTTAAACAAAACTTTAGGTCATTATTATGCTTCAGTACTCACAAAGGCTCACAACTCGCCATAATACACAATTGCTCCTCAAACAGGTTAAGTCACTATGAAGAATGGAAGGATCCAGTATTTGCTGACTGCTTGCACACCTGAAGTTGTATAACCTCTCCCACAAGATGCAACTCTAACCTTTTGTTTCTCTCATATATTACCTCTCTCCCTTTCATTTTCATTATTTACTTCAGTTTGTTGCAGCAAGCAAGATTTCTGCCAGCAGCTGGATGGTCAGCTTTTTCAGCAGGATCTTGTTCTATGGTCTTGGCGAAATACAGGGCAAAGAAGGTCTTGCTCAGTGCACTGAAGTTGTTCCACACACCTGGTATATCCCAAGTTTGCAGGGGCAAACTTGATGTGTATGTCAACCAATGTATAGTCTAGGTAAATGTTTGGATCCACTTCCAAGTCAAATTCTAGATTGCAGCCTCCAGGAATAGGATCTAGAACACAGAAAACTGTAGTAGTTTTTACTTCCCCCTTACACAGCATGAACAAAGTTCTAAGACCTCAGCAATGCATGTACTTGCAGGTCCCTATAGTCTGCTTGCTGACCACATAATTGTCAGGTTCTACTCCTGCAAGCAACACCAGTGGTTCCACTGCAGTCTAAGATAGGTCCTGATACATATACTGATACATAGTAGCAGTTTACTACTCTAAGGCTGAAGTAGTGACAAGACCATACAGTACATCCTATACACAATTTGCAATTCATCAGTGACACAGAACTTTCAGCCCATTTCAAGAGAATTACTGGCATCTCCATAATATGTTTGCACTATATCACCCCTGAGAGGTCAACACTTCATTAACTTGTAACAAGCAGAGCTGGTATCCCTTAACAAGTAATAAGAACATACCTTTCTCCATATAAGGAATAGAGATAGCTGTGCTCAACACCTGGCTAGCAACCAGTGACCGAAGGTACCATGTACATACACTCTGTTGAGGCTGAAGGATGGAAACCAGTCCTTTGTCTACTCCAGTTCCCGAGCTGTTCATGGATGGATTCTGGACAGAAATAAATTATATAAAGAAGCAGTTGTTCTTGAAAAGATTTCTACCACAGCTTGATGTATTGCACAGGAGTCACATTCCTGCCACAAACCTGTAGGGCACACATTTTTGTGGCAGTTGACACAGATGAGGCATTGAGTCATTAGCTAGCTGGTAAAAAAAGAAGATGGAATAAATGAGCTGGAAAAATGGAGTAGTCTCTGACACTGCCTAGCTCAGGCTCAAAAACCCAAGTAGGAAACTACTAAAGAGTTAACCACAAGCTAGTTGCAAAGAAATCTAGCTAGTTGAAGTCTACTGCTGCACAGCAATGGATTGACTAATAAAAAGTGTGAAAGGATTATAATATCCCTCACAAAGTCGTGAGGCAGCACTAAAGTGCATGCTGGGAACCAAAGTGCAGAAGCACCTCACTATCTCCACCAGAATGGAGATGACTGTATGACAGCTGGCTTAACACTAGCCATGCCGGACAAGTGCTTGGGGTCAGGTCAGCTGCTGACCCAATCCCCACCACAACCATCCCTTTCAGAACCAGGGGTCTTGAGGAAACATCAGGGAGCAACAGCAGCATCACACTCACATGGCTGGAACAACCAATTCATCTTCAGTCAAATCTATGCTTCAGCATGGCAAATGTGCTTTTGTCCAAGTCCACAGTTACCTGAGGCAACACTGTTAGGAAGCACTTCGGACCTGGTAGACTTTAAGACCTAGCTCAACTTCATACTTCTAGAGGCAGGCCAGCCCTAGAAGCAATACAGCCGTATTTATGTACTGCTGTCCTTTGCCTGGTAAGGCCCATGAATGCTAAGAGTATCTGAATTCACAGCAGAAGATTCTACCAGTGGTCATCGAAGACTGAATAGGTGTAACAGCAATGCCTTAGCCCTGTAATCCTGGCTATCTCACCAGTACAAAGACAACTGAGCTGGGTGACTTGTGTTACAGGTTATTCATCTCCTAAGCTTCCCAGGATACTTCTTGGCACTCAGTATATTCTCATCTGGAAAATACAGATGGAGAGACAGAAATTGGATGGCAGCTCTCAGATCTCAATCTTCTACCTTCAGCATAGTCTATGTTCTGCTCAAATATCACTAAAAAAAAAAAAAAAAAAAAAAAAAAAAAAAAAAAATCAGTATTTTAGATTGCATCCCAGTAATGATGGGACAAATGAAGGCTAGTGTATAGAATAAGAATGCTTATATTGTTGGTTAGAAGTAGCAGCCTTCACTGGAGTACAATTAAGGCATTTCTCCATATGCCAAAGGGGAATTAAGGAGCTGGTGTAACAAGACACCATCAAGGCCAGGGTGGATGAGGCTTTGAGTAACCTGGTTCCTGCCCACAGCAGGCAGGTTGGAACTAGCCATTCTGTGATTCTCTATCTGTACTGGCTAGATCCCAGCTACATAAGGTAGCAGGCAACTAAATATCCCAAAGTGATGATGTTTAGTGTATAAGGTGCCCAGCAAATATTTATAAATTTGTTTGTAATTTGATAAGCTGGTGGATAGTAGTCAGCAGGCTGATTACCAAGTCAAAAGCATCCCTTCCACCAAGAACACAGAGCCTTGAAACGTTTTCAAGCCAGCTCTTGAATTCCTTTGGCATTCAGTCCTCCAAAATAGCAACTATGATAAGAAAGGATTTCTGAAGCTAAAATAATCCACATGGCTCTTGGACAGTATAAAATATTCAGATCATTTATGTAACTACAGTTCTATATTCGTATATGTACTAGACCCAACTCCTTTGCTGAAGGAAAAGTAGCACTTAAGGACAGAAGTAACACTCTTACCATACCTTATCAAAGGATATCACCACATCACTTTGCTGAGAATGTACTTGAAAAATAACGACAGTCACATTGCTTGCAATGTTCCTGATTACAGCTTCCTCTGGATTGGTCTGGTTAAGTAGCACATATCTGAATTTTCCCAAGGAGAGCTCAAGAAGACCTGCATTACAAAAAAAGGAAGACTTTTTTTTTTCCTAGAGGTAAGCAATTACCAACAGGAGCCTGGAAGCTTCAGTTACCCAATATTACTCAGCTGGGAACACAGCAAGATGCTGGTTTATGCTTCTCATCCTGTAAATTGTATTAAGGTTTCAGAGATGACTATACACAGAGCTATATCTCCAAGAACAGATTCAGCTAGAGAACCCACCACATGGTCTGGCACTCACCTAAGCACTTGTGGTAGGATTTCCTGCCAGGACCTCAGTATTTGATACAGCTGAGCTCCTCAGCAATAGACATCAGTGCAGCTGACCAGCTAGAGCAATCAACAGCAAGTAACATTCAGTAAAATAAATAAGAGAGGATACTGCAGACTACTTGCTCTTTGGCAAATACAGGCAGATATGCTTGTATTTGCCAACCAACTTGCACAACACCTGTTAGTTTTCCTCAGTGAATTCCCATAGACCATGGGATTCAGAGACAACTTCTATAATGCAGTCAATCTGTAGTTTACATACGTATACTTACCCACTTGCAGTTATTTCACACATGTCTTTTGCTCCCACACTATTCTTAATTATTAAAACTGCTGGACCCCAATTTCTCTCTTTAAAAATCTGACTAATTTTTCCAAGACAGAACCAAGACCATTTCTTCTTATGATGAGCATAATCCCATGATCCATTGTCATTTAAATATAAAGAGAACCACAAGACCTAGGATGCAATATTCTTTGAGAATCAGCTTTGGCTTGTCATTCAAGTCCTGCAAGAAAGCCTGATTTCTCCCTGTGCTGGCTCTTGAGGACAGGGAGGAGAGAGAAGCAGCTGCACAGAAGCCACAAGATTCTCTTTTGTTAGTGGTTAGTGGGCAGACTAGATGCTTGCAAGCATGTACAATGCCTTTCAGGTTTTTCCCTGGATTCCCCTGCATGCACACCCAGTAGCCCAGTGGACCGAAAACTTACTGAGCCTGAACATGCACACAGCACTTCTTCAGTAAAGTTGCCTCTTCTAGTGTAAAGGGTTGATACTATCCAGTACTCCAACAAAACCCAGAGTAATCAACAGCACCATCCCATATACACTGTTGCTGGTGACTCAGGTGGTCTCCCACCCAAAAAAAGGATATACAGTCTTCTCATTCAAAACAGTACCCAATACTCTAACTTCTCTCATGTTATTTTTCACTCTTCCCTGCCAAGAATTTTCATCTTTGGCCAGCTTCTTTGCCTCTTGATGATATAGAGAGGTGAGCTCCTACCCTCATGCCCCCTCTACTCACCTCACAGCGGAGGAAGAAAGCGAAGGAAAAGTTCAATTCATCTCATCTTGCTAACTTCAACTCTTACATGCTCACCCCCAAAATTCAATTGTTATCAGTGCTGCATCACCAATAAACCACAGCTGAAATATGGGGATCATAAACCATCTCTGAGGAAAAAAGGGTTCTCCATTTTACTGTCCCATAATCTTCATGTTAAGGTAGACAAAGTTTACTCCATGTTTTCAAGCAGTAATGAATGCAAAATTAGAGCTACAAAAAAGCTTTATGTATTCTTCAGTTTCTTAAATGAAGTCCATTGAGCAGCATTCAGATTATCTTTCCCTTCACAAGATCTCTTTGGTCTTAGCTCTTAAGCTCCACCAGAAATGCAACAAACAGTATACAGGCTAAAGAAAAGCATTCAAAAGGCACAGACTATATACATCTATGCACTCAGAAATTAGGAGTGAAAGATTAAAATGCAGGAAAAATATTTTTCTTTGATCTTTAAGAACTTCAGCACAGTTTCCTGAATTGCAAATGTTCACACTTAGATGTTCTTTTAAAGAAAAAGCTGAAATCAGATATATCCTCTCTATGCTCTACCATCAAGGGGGGAAAAAACCTGCATTGCTCTGCCTTGCTTCTCACCTCCGCTCTGCATAAATCAGAGGACTCTGCATAAACAAGAACAGATTTGTCAGCAAGACATGCAGCCACTATTTCAACATGATCATGAGACTCTAAATGTCAGAAGCACTCTTTCAAGTTTAATTAGCGTGGCAAATTAAGGCACGGTGTTCTACATTGCTTTGCTGTTTGCATAATTGCTCCTAAAACAGTGCATCTGACATACATTTTAAACCAAAGTCTGGACAGAAGATTGGAGGTGAAGAACAATAATGGCTACATCTGTCAGACAAGAATTTTTCAGCTTGTTGTTCACAGGCTCCTCAAATCTCACTTCTAGCCAGGCTTGTAAGATGACTAAAAGGAAAGTTCACAAGCACTGCAGAGCAGCAGAACCTTCTAGGAAGTCTTCTGGGAAAGCAACTGCTACATGGCCACAGGCTACAGCACCTTTCCAGCCTTCCCTTTTTCTGTCACTTGTACAGGTCCACTGGTGGTCTGAACAGAAAGGGAGCACGGAAAGCCAGACAAATTAACCAGCTCACAATTCATCAGGCCTATTGCTATCACAAGTTCTCAGACCAAGCCATTCAGAATTCAGTGTTGTCAAAGATTCTCTGAATGACAGATACAGAGATCTCCATGAACACATCATACTGGCCACAGCATGCAAGCTTGATCTCGCTGAATGTAGGACACCAAACAGGACTGCATGTTCAGCAACACATGCAGCAAAGATACCACCACACAAATGAGGTAGTTGACCCAGCAAGTCAGCAACAGATCCAGGAACAAAATCCAGGCATCCCAGCTTTTTTTGTTGCTTTACTTGCTTCAGTGAAGTTCTGGAAACACCTTGTAAGATGCCAGGCTATCCTCTCTTCTTTGCCTTGTAGGGACAAGTAAGATGGTCACTGCATGTCAGTAGTTTTGGGTTAGATACAAGAGAGGAACCATCACTATTACAGAGATTATCAACAAAAAACATACTTTAAGTCAGTGTTGCTGAAACTGAGAAAGAGCAGAGCAAAGCTGGAGTATTCAGCATATATTACTCAGTATACCACTACCAATACTAAACCAGGAGCACAGATAGTCCAGCATATAAAAGAACTGATGAACAAAGATGGACAACAGTCTACTCTGTCACTCCACATTATACCTTTTCTCCCACATGAAGGGCAAATCCAGTAAAGGAATTGAATCTCTCAGAGCTCTTCCGAGATCATAAGTCCTTATTCCTAACTCTAATCAACAAAGTAATCAACGCTACAGAAGGCCAAGATTTATTATCCCTTCCCTGTGACAGCAGTTTCACCAACCAGCAACACCCAGCGTGAACCATTTCAACTCTGCTGATTCAGGACCAAGCTCTCAGTTCATAAGATGCTTTAAGTAAACCACATTTCCTGATCCAATAGTCAAGTGTCAGTCCCCATCACCAAGAAACATTTAACCATACAAGGTTCTTGATGACACCTATCAGTCCAATTTCCATTAAGAAACATGGCTGAAGAAATACCGTTGCTGCCCATACAGGAATAGCCTTTACCTACAGAACCATGCTCAAACATTATGCTTACCTCGAAGATGTTCCCTACAGTCAGAGAAAATGCATTTATACTTTGTGTCAGCCAACTTACAGTGAATTTGCAGAAAAACCTTACATAAGCGTTAAGAGGTAAGCAGCAGCTTCCAGCGTAGGGAACATGTCAACAAGTAGTCACATGAAGACTTTAATGGAGATGAAATGCAAGCTCAGACTGAAAACAAGTTTGAGTAGGGAAACCATGAGTATACAGTTAACAGAGTAAAGCCAACAGCCATATTATATCAGACCTGTAAGGCCATGAAAACATGTATGAGTCATGCAAACATAGCAGAGTCCTGCTACAAGGTCTCTTCCTTCCCACACTTAAAACCCCAAATAAAGACATCACCCACCCCACACCCAAAAGAAGCAAGACTTACAAAAGCTTCTAAACTTTAGTTGTGTGCATACTGAGACTCATGCTTAGAGCACAGTTTGATGTTTAAAGCAGATAGTGCCACAGAATGTCGCTTGTCACCAACCACACCACTCCCATCTCAAAAAACTATTCTGTTCAAGTTAGAGGTCAGGAGGTCTTTTACAGTCTGAAAAGTAAGGGAAGTACCACTTGCCTCACCTACTTACAGTTTTACTAATCCACTTCGATTATCAGCCAGAACATGCAAGACCTGGCCTCAGTCACATTGCTGGCACTGTTGTCACTTGTGCATCTGGGCAATAATGCTTCAAGATGTAAGTGACCAGCTGCCCAATGCATTCACACAGCTGAACAGCTTCAGAACAACCTTAAAATGTTGTCTCTGCATAGACTATAAACAGCTAACACAAACTAAATTCATCCAGATAAGTTCCCTTTATGAAAAGGGCACTGCTCAACCCTGACTACACTATAAATTTGCTGTACTTTTTTCTGCACTCAGCAACCTGGTTTGGATGCAGCCAGATGCACTCCTACTTCATGAAGGTGGAGCTCCCTGGAAAGTAACAAACATGATATGTAAAACACTCCTGCACAAATATTAAGAGCTGCAGTCCATCAGAACCGCAGAGAGGTAATACAGGTCACCATGCACAGATTTTACTTATCAGCACTTTTAAAATCAATCGGGATCTTCTAGTATTAGGAGATACAGAGCCCACCCCTGCAAACCTGGGTGTCTGAGACTGAATAACCACATGACAATTTCAAGTAAGTAAACCACTAGCAAGTATCCTTGTATAAAGGGCCTAATGATCAGCTAGACACTGGTACACAAATTACACAGCTTATTAGCTTGTCATGTAAAGTACTTTCCCCCCTCCATCCTTAATTCTGCAAGGAAATATAGCAACAGGCTCCTTCAAGGCAAAGCAATTAGTTTAGTCCCATATTCATTCCACTTTTTTACATATTATAAAAAAATGACTCAACACATGACTCATTTCAGTAAAGTCTGGGAGCAAACTGCTTACCAGCATCTTTTAAGATAAACATTAAGATCCAAGAACACTGAGACTTCATTCTCAGACCTGCTTGCCAGCATCAGATCTCCACTAAGATTTTGGGCATGAGAATCCAGGGCAGGGGTGCCCACAACACAAGAAATCTTCCACACTTGAGACTGATTACTGCAGCCTTGCAAAGTATCCCAAGAGTAGATTTCTCCTTTCGGACAATGAAGCTTCATTATAAGCAAGTTTAAAAATAAAGAAAAACTAAGAGGAGGTTTACATCAGCCCTAACATAAGGGACTACCCGCTTATCTCTGAATTATCCCTGAAACCGATTATTTTTTCCTTTATTTGAACAGATAAGAATTTAGAGCTTACCAGAAAAAAGCATCAACAAATCTTCACAAGCCATACTCATTATAGCAGACTTACCTCTGGATGCCTATTTTAGTCACACACAGGAACACAGGGGAATTAAAAAAAACCCACACCAAATAAAGGCAAATTACATCAGCATGGCCAGCAAGTAATTTTAGGAACCAAGCTCCAAACTATAGGGAGATTTCCTTAATCAATTCCTTCATTTTATAGTGACAGTGGTTTTCAATATATAATCCGCCCAGTGCTGGGAACCCACAACCAGCTAGCTGTACGCAGTAAAAAAGCTCAACAAACCAAAACCAAAAATTCCTGCTATTAACCCTGTTCCCGTTCTCATATAAACTCCTAGGCAGCGAATGTCACCTTGTCTCCTTAGAAGAAATACAACTCTACACCAGACCCTGTATGCCTGCAACGGCACAGTTAAAATTAGTCCAGCATATCCACACAAGAGTTAAAATGATAGCGTTCAGAGCAATTAAGTTGAAAAAAAAAAAAAACCCAAACCCCAAACCAACCAAAAAAGGGGGGGTAATAGGTTCTTCCTGCCCACATCAAAAGCCACGAATGTATAAAACTCTTCTCCATCTCCGCAGACAACTGCATCTTCACTTCGATCTTCACTCTTGCTCAACCCTCCAAGACGGTCGCTCTGCCGCCACCTGGGACACTCCCCACCAAAAAGCTCTGCAGGCCCCTCCTAACAACAAGACCCCTCCCTTTCGTCCTGCTGGATGTGCCAACTCGGCCAAAAACAACCCCTCACCTATACAAGCCGAGCTCCACCGGCCCTCCCCTCGCTTAATGGCGGTCACGATCCACAGTCCCTCCCCTCACCCTGCGCCGCACTCACCTGAAGCACCGCCATGACGGAGGACCCCCAAGAGCCCCAAGAGCACCAGGGAGGAAAGAGAGAACGTCATGGCGCTGGGTAAGGAAGAGGAGATGAGGTCGAGAGCGGGCTAGGGCTGTGAGGAGGAGCTCAGACTGGGCAGGTCCTGTGAGGCGGCGCAGCACCCACGAAAGCGCCTTGCCGCGCCGCCTCACAGGAGTCGCCTAGGCTAAAAGCCGTTCACCGCCAGCCCCTCACCCACCTGCGCAGTAAAGGTAACTGCCCCCCCCCCCCC